GGAAAATAAATCTTATAACGTCTTTAGAAATTTGGTCAAACTCACCTTCACTGCTTTGAGGTGCATTAAACTCATAATTATTCAAGGCAGCGATCCAGCGGTTCCCTGTGGCGCCCAGCTTTGCGGTTGTTAGAACATATGTTAATGGTACCCTCTACCAGGGCGACTGATAGATTTTTACGAATATTCACAGATATGTCTCTAGCTGCGCGGGCAGCGATAATTGCTTCCACATGGGATTTCTGTACAGGGTGACTTCAGTTGAAAATGACAATCTATCTAGCTAGAGACATATCTGTGAATATCCGTAAAAATCTATCAGTCGCCCTGGTAGAGGGTATGTTAATGGGTTGATGTCTGTGTAAAGTACAAAGTTGTTACCATAATGATAATTGTGAAACTTCTTAGTAACAGCCCATTTCAATGAAGAAAACTCTAATTTGTGGACCTGCTTGTCCAAAGCGCTCAAAGACCAAGCTGAGATGCTCCAAGTGTTCTGAGAAAGATTTTGACGCTACAATTACATCATCCAAATAGATGTGACAAAAACTCCTGAGTCATGTATGCCATCTAGAGCATCTCCTCCATCATACTCTGATATGTTGCTGGAGCATTAAATAGCTCAAAAGGAAGTTTAGTATATTCATACAAACCTAATGACCCGACAGTTAATGCAGTGTGCTATTTATGTGCTTCTTCAATGGGGACTTAGTGGAAACCACTCTTCATATCTAAAACACTTTAACAACAGCTTACACCCAACAACATCAAGAAGTTCATTAGTCCTTGGTAACGCAAAGGCATCCTTCAGCATACGTTTATATATCTGTCTATAGTCAATATACTGTCTCAGACTACCTTCTTTATTCTTAACAAGTACAATATTTGAAGCAAAGGGACTTTGTCGTTTTCCTATTATGCACTCGTCTCCAGTTGTCTTGTCGTGACTTGCTGTGACTCTGATGCCCTCTAATTGGTGTTTTGTTTATGTTTCTTTGTTCTGTCTTCCGGCGTCTGTTACAAATGGTAACAGCCTTTAAGTCTGTTCATTGTTTAATTAATCTGCTAGATTAAAAATTTAAGATTTTTTAACCGCGGTAGAGACCACATTCGCCCACCCCCAGTAGCCATGTCTTACAGAATTGTAAATCCCAGATGGCAAAGCAAACGTAACAATTCAAATTGAATTTCAGCAGTCATAAAAGTAAAACAAACCTAGGCGAGAATAGTATGGGTAAACCAAATGGATTTGAAACATAAAATAGTAACAAGGCAGCAAAGCTGTCAAATGTACAGGCAAAAAACAGAAAATAATGATGCAAAATAGGTCATTTTGCCAATTTTGATGCAATAATAAATAATGCTTATAATAGCACTGTTAGTCAACACTGAATTTTAATCATGCACATCAGGTAACATGGTCAATAACAGGAGCTGACCCAGAGATATTTTCTGACAGTATTCCAAAGTATCTTTGTTGATCCATCCTCTATTTTGATGATCTTCCAACAGAAAAAAAAATATCAGTCAATATAAACTTAAAAATCCGAACGTCTTCCGGAAGCTGACCCAGAAGATGGTCTCAATCCATCCCTTCAATAAGATTACAGTATCAGGACCATGAGAGACCAAAGTCACATGATGAAAGTCTCAATATTTGAAAAATGATGACAGTGCATAAAATAATATTACATAATGTTTGAAAACATAAATAACATACAACTGCTTATGTGGAAATACAGAAAATGTGCAGAGCTTCAGGCGGTTAAATATCACAAATGCAAGTGTTTGAGAAAAAAGTTATTAAGGAAAATAAACAAAACTAGAAAAGCACTCCGAGAGTGCAGACCTCTGCCCAGGCAGCAATTGTTGATTATATATATATATATATATATATATATATATATATATATATATATATATATATATATAAATTACCTGCATAATTTACCTCCATAATTATCACTGCTTCCTTATTATTAATCTAGCAGAGAGCTTAACCTTTGGGAGTTTACAGGGAGATATCAACAAGTGTGCTTTATGTAATCTCATTTAATGGCCTATTAATAATCAATTAGGCAAATTACTTTATAACTCAGAGCTTAGCTAAGTGATACCCAAGGGAAATTTACAGACTGACCCTCTCAAAGACCCTTCAGGCCCATAAGTCACATCTTAAGAAAAGCACAAAACAATAATGCACAAAATAGGAGACTACCAATTCTGATGAAATGATACATTATGTTTAACTGCAAAGTCAACATCATATTTTAATTATGCACAGCAGGTAACACCGACCAAAGTAAAAGCATAAGGCTTCAGGCCCATCAGAGTTCAAGTTTATACTTAGAAAGTGCCAGAATAAAAAAATGAAAATTTCACACAAAATTGCATAAATTCAATAATAAACGATAACCCAATTGACCTAGCTTTCTAATTTTAACTGCATGCCAATCCTAAAAATCATTCTCATAAGTTAAAAATAATAATAAGTAACACAGTTTTCTTTTCATAATGTTTGCAGTAGCAGTGCAAAAAGATTATTGTAAATTTTGATGTAACATTGCATAATAAATTATAGAATAATTATCACCAATTTTTGATTATTGATTACAAATAGCATGGACATGTAGAAAATTTGATTACCATTCGGCTTCATGTCCATGGGAGCTCCGAGTCCCACAATGAATATGCCAAAAAGTTAATGAATATTTCACTCAAATGTATAACTTCCAGAAAAAGAAGCCAATTAGACTGCTTTTCCAACTCAGGCTGCATTTTAGTACAGTGTTTCTTTTTTTAAGGTTTGACAGTCATAAGTAACACGGTTTTCCCATCATGGTCATCATGGCAGCAGCACCAAAAATTGTTTTCTTCTATTTTGAAGCAACATTACATAATGATTAACAGCATATATGACCATCAATTTTTATTTAATAGAATATTAGTAACATGGACTTTCAGAAAACATGACAAGCAAAGGTCTTCAGAATCATGGAACTTCAAAGTCACACCTTGAAAATGCCAATAAGTGAAAAATTAAATTTTCACAAAAAACTGTTTAACTGCCAGAAAAAATTACCAAACAGACTGCATTGCCTACTGAAGCTGTATTTTAGACCCACATTTCTTTCCTGTAAGTTTGATAACAGTAAGTGACATGATTTTCTTTAAATGGTCATCATGGGAGCAGTGCCCAAAATATGGGTTTCTTCGAATCTTGATGCAATATTACATAATGTTTAACAGCATAATGACCATCAATTTTTAATCATAAAATATTAGTATCATGGATATTCAGAAAATGTGACTAGCAAAGATCTGCAGGCTCATGGAACTTCAAATCACATCTTTAAAATGCCAAACTGTAAAAAAGACAGCACTGTTCTGAAATGGGTTTATTCCCATTTTAACACTTTTTAAACAAAACAAAATAAACAGTATACTTCCATTTTTATATGACCAACTAAGAAAATTGATGAGATGGGAAAAATATCAATAGAACAGTGTTAAATGTCCAATTTCCTCCATTCTGAGATTCTGAACATAGTTGATGATTGAATCTAACAAACTGCAATATGATATGATATGAGTTTATTTCCATTTTTGACACTTTATTACACAATACACGATATCAAGTTTACCATCATTTTTACATAATCAACTAACAATGTTGTAAAGATGCAGGAAATATCAAACAAACACTTTTACGTATCTTATTAGTTAAATAATGAGACTGTTAACATGCTTAAGAATTGAATCTGAGGAAATGTGAAAAAACAGCATAACTTCTAAAATAATGGCCAGATTATGCTGATTTTCCAACTCAACCTGCATTTTAGTAAGATTGACCACTCCTGTAAGTATAATGACAATTGGCCTATCTGTTTTTCTTATATAGTGTTATCAGTGTTGCATATATGTTGAAAAAAGTGAAAAAATAGCATAACTCCCCTAAAAATGGCTTGATCATGCTGATTTTTGAACTTGATCTGCGGATTATGAATCTTCATCAGTTTTGTAAGTTTGAAGCCAAAAAGTAAAGCTGTTTTCCACTTATCGTGTTATCGGTGCTGCATATATGCTGAAAAAAGTAAAAAAAAACAGCATAACTTCCCTACAAGTCACCCGATCATGCTGATTTTCGAACTTGACCTGCGTATTATAAATATTTATCAGTTCTGTAAGTTTCAAGCCAAAAGCCAAAACGGTTTTCCAGTTATCGTGTTATCGGTGCTGTATATATATGCTGAAAAAAGAGAAAAAATAGCCTAAATTCACTAAAAAATGACCCAATCATGCCGATTTTCGAACTTGACCTGCGTATTATGAATATTTATCAGTTCTGTAAGTTTCAAGCCAAAAAGTAAAATGGTTTTCCACTTATCATGTTATCGGTGCTGCATTTATGCTGAAAAAAGAGAAAAAATAGCCTAAATTCACTAAAAAATGACCCAATCATGCCGATTTTCGAACTTGACCTGCGTATTACGAATATTTATCAGTTCTGTAAGTTTCAAGCCAAAAAGTAAAATGGTTTTCCTCTTATCATGTTATCGGTGCTGCATTTATGCTGTAAAAAGAGAAAAAATAGCCTAAATTCACTAAAAATGACCCAATCACACTGATTTTCGAACTTGACCTGCGTATTATGAATATTCATCAGTTCTGTAAGTTTCAAGCCAAAAAGTAAAACAGTTTTCCACTTATCGTGTTATCGGTGCTTCATTTATGCTGAAAAAAGTGAAAAAAACAGCATAAATTCCCTATAAGTGACCCGATCATGCTGATTTTCGAACTTGACCTGCGTATTATGAATATTCATTAGTTCTGTAAGTTTCAAGCCAAAAGAAAAAACAGTTTTCCACTTATCGTGTTATCGGTAAAAGTGCACGGCGACGACGGCGACGGCGACGACGGCGACGACAGACGCAGATGACGGCTATATGTACAGACACATCTGTGTCTGTACATAAAAAGTAAATCCAAGTGATCAAGCTAAATCAAATAAATGTGAATGAATACAAAGAAATAAAGTAAACCAATGAAATGATATAAAATCAACGAAAGGAAATCAAAGAACTCAATAAAGAATGTAACAATAAAAGTTGAATTGAATCTAAGGAAAATCAAATACTGAAATAAGCAAATTCGACTATTTCAAAAACTTAAAGAAATCAATAGCCTGGAAATAAATTGTGATAAATTGTGAAGAAAATTGGAACTAAATTATGAAGAAATAAAAGAACATTTCTTAAGAAGGCAAATGATTTACAATGAATAGAAATTAGGGGTAACCGTTTAGTATATTTGTTATGAAAAAATGAATTTAAACTCAAATTTATAAATTAAACCAAAGAGGTATAATCACAATGAACTAATTGAAATAATAAACAAACCGATAAAATCTGGTATAAAATAACTAAATACTAATGAAACTAAATTAACTGGATAATAAAAAAAAATATCAACCAAAATTGAAAAATTAAACAAAATGTTAACTAAAGAATAGTGGCTCACAACAGTCTTAACAAGTTCTGAACGATTTTCTAAGGTAAGATAACTCAGCATTCACAACCGAGGAGAGACACATTCCTCCGTAAACGATGTCCTAGGACAGTCCAGATGGGTCAGTGACAGTTTATAGACACAGTCCAGTGACGGATCATACAATCACGACAATGTTAGTCAACATATTCCGAAGACGGTTTGCACGATCCACCACTTGGAAGGTTACACACTTTCAGAGATGTCCCATGTCCACTACTCACACTGTAACAATGAGATCCCGATTCAGTGCTGGAGTCGCTGTTCGTATGTCTGTATGACAAAACCATCTACTGTTATTGCCGCGATCCTTGTAAAACGCCCCTGAATTAAATCAGGTGTGAAAATTTTAGTCATATGAAAAAGACTTTTTATACTACAAAGAGAGTCCGTGTTTTACAAATGGTGCAGCGAGCCGGGACCCCGACAAGTCACACGCTGCAAACGACTAGAAACGACTACGATTAGCCAACTGTGCGTCTATCTGTATCACCGGCCAAGGCAATTGGGACGTCCCAATGACTAAGTTGACAAAGCACATAGTTTATTTCTGAAGTTTCATGTGGCATTGTACACTTGAGAGTTTCTTTCCAATTTATGGTAGTAACTCCACATCCGGACTATCTAGTGTATCATCTTTTTTCACTTTGTTATTAAATAAAATGATAAACTTTGCAATATTTACAGTTTGCATGACCCAGGCCGACATTATATTTATCTTGGACGGGTCTAGTAGCGTCAAAGCAGCCGACTTTGCCAAACAACTACAATTCATCAAGTCTTTGGTGAGGAAATTTGGGGTTGGACCAAACGCGGTAAAGGTCGGCGTTCTGCAGTACTCTACCAACACAGTGCAGGAGTTTAACCTTAACACTCACAGCACCGAAGTCGCCATCTTAGCCGCCGTCGACAGGATCAAGCAGAAGAAAGGTGGTACTAACACAGCTGTGGCCCTTTCTACCGCACGCATCAGCAGTTTCACGGCTGCCAAAGGTGATCGACCGAACGTCCCAAACATCGTTATCGTCATGACCGACGGCAAGTCTAATAACATGGCGGCGACCGCCAGAGAAGCAAACAGGCTGCGTAATATTGCGTCAGTGTTCGCAATTGGAGTTGGGAGTAATGTCAGAACTGCTGAGCTGAAGGCCATGGCTAACGACCCGGATAGTAAATATGTATTTACAGTGACAGACTTCAGTGCCCTGTCAAATATAGAGACAAAGTTAGCCACGGAGGCTTGTGCACGTGAGTAGCTTATCATAACATATAACACGAGAATTAAGGCGTTAGTACCCCTGTTTAACGTTTATGTAGTATATTTTCCAGCTGAAGAAAAATATTGGTGCTNCTCTCTCTCTCTCTCTCTCTCTCTCTCTCTCTCTCTGCAATAAAAGTTCAGGCGATCATCCTCACATCTAAAACAGAGTAATTTGTATTATGGTGATATCTTAGTTTGACCTTTGAGTAGATGATCGGAGTTATTGTCACTTTTCTTCTTAATTGTTAGTTGAAATCATGAAGGCAATTGGGACGTCCCAAAGACTCAGTTGACAAAGCACTTAGTTTCCTTCTGAGGTTTCATGTGGTATTATACACTTGGGAGTTTCTTTCCAATTTGTGGTAGTAACTCCACATCCAGACTATCTAGTGTATCGTCTTTTTTCGCGTTGTTATTAAATAAAATGACAAACTTTGTAATATTTACAGTTTGCATGACCCAGGCCGACATTATATTTATCTTGGACGGGTCTAGTAGCGTCAAAGCAGCCGACTTTGCCAAACAACTACAATTCATCAAGTCTTTGGTGGGGAAATTTGGGGTTGGACCAAACGCGGTAAAGGTCGGCGTTCTGCAGTACTCTACCAACACAGTGCAGGAGTTTAACCTCAACACTCACAGCACCGAAGCCGCCATCTTAGCCGCCGTCGACAGGATCAAGCAGAAGAAAGGTGGTACTAACACAGCTGTGGCCCTCTCTACCGCACGCACCAGCAGTTTCACGGCTGCCAAAGGTGATCGACCGAACGTCCCAAACATCGTTATCGTCATGACCGACGGCAAGTCTAATAACATGGCGGCGACCGCCAGAGAAGCAAACAGGCTGCGTAATATTGCGTCAGTGTTCGCAATTGGAGTTGGGAGTAATGTCAGAACTGCTGAGCTGAAGGCCATGGCTAACGACCCGGATAGTAAATATGTATTTACAGTGACAGACTTCAGTGCCCTGTCAAATATAGAGACAAAGTTAGCCACGGAGGCTTGTGCACGTGAGTAGCTTATCATAACATGTAACACGAGAATTAAGGCGTTAGTACCCATGTTTAACATTTATGTAGTATATTTGCCAGCTGAAGAAAAATATTGGTGCTCACGTCTGTAGATTGACAGCCAACTAGCGCGTTTACTACTATGCAGGAGCTTTCATATAACATTATCTTACCTCTTACCTCAATATGTCGTAGATAAACTGCTAAAAAAACATCTAGTCTTGCGCTGATATGGATGTGAATAAATTAGACTACATCTCCCTGTCTGTCAATTATGACGCCGTGAAAGCGGCCCTCAAATGAAAAATATCATTTGATCTACATGCACCTGACGCATAGGGACGTCTGTACATAGGCCCCCTATCGGTCTGTTTCCGGATGTTTTGTTTTACAGCAGAGTGGTTAGCACGAAATGTCATATAGACATAAACAAATGTATTCTTATCTGTCTACATGAAATCTATTCTTATCTGTCTCCTTTAATTTCAACCATGTCAATTCGCAGATACTAATGTCGTCTTTGATTAAATTTATTTTCCTTTTTAGAGGCCACTACTGCACCGCCAGGTATGAATAAAAGGGCATGAATAACACGTATTTCTCCCCATCTTCCGAATTATAAATTACATATATTTGAAATACATAAATATAAAAGTATGTGTCCTACAATGTACGAATAGAATGTGTCTTTAAAAAAATAGAAAGCCAACATTTAAAATTAAACCAATATTCATTTAATGAACTAGATCCGTGTTAGGTATCAGATTTTCTTTCTGCAATTCACAGTCAAATTGCAGTTACCTTTTAGCTGATTTGTTGTATTTAACTGTTAATATTTGTTACCGTTAACAGAGATTACTACCAAGCCGACACCAAGTAAGTATAACCTCTCTCTCTCTCTCTCTCTCTCTCTCTCTCTGCAATAAAAGTTCAGGCGATCATCCTCACATCTAAAACAGAGTAATTTGTATTATGGTGATATCTTAGTTTGACCTTTGAGTAGATGATCGGAGTTATTGTCACTTTTCTTCTTAATTGTTAGTTGAAATCATGAAGGCAATTGGGACGTCCCAAAGACTCAGTTGACAAAGCACTTAGTTTCCTTCTGAGGTTTCATGTGGTATTATACACTTGGGAGTTTCTTTCCAATTTGTGGTAGTAACTCCACATCCAGACTATCTAGTGTATCGTCTTTTTTCGCGTTGTTATTAAATAAAATGACAAACTTTGTAATATTTACAGTTTGCATGACCCAGGCCGACATTATATTTATCTTGGACGGGTCTAGTAGCGTCAAAGCAGCCGACTTTGCCAAACAACTACAATTCATCAAGTCTTTGGTGAGGAAATTTGGGGTTGGACCAAACGCGGTAAAGGTCGGCGTTCTGCAGTACTCTACCAACACAGTGCAGGAGTTTAACCTCAACACTCACAGCACCGAAGCCGCCATCTTAGCCGCCGTCGACAGGATCAAGCAGAAGAAAGGTGGTACTAACACAGCTGTGGCCCTCTCTACCGCACGCACCAGCAGTTTCACGGCTGCCAAAGGTGATCGACCGAACGTCCCAAACATCGTTATCGTCATGACCGACGGCAAGTCTAATAACATGGCGGCGACCGCCAGAGAAGCAAACAGGCTGCGTAATATTGCGTCAGTGTTCGCAATTGGAGTTGGGAGTAATGTCAGAACTGCTGAGCTGAAGGCCATGGCTAACGACCCTGATAGTAAATATGTATTTACAGTGACAGACTTCAGTGCCCTGTCAAATATAGAGACAAAGTTAGCCACGGAGGCTTGTGCACGTGAGTAGCTTATTATTACATATAACACGAAAATTTAGGCGTTAGTACCCCTGTTTAACGTTTATATACTATATTCCCAGAGAATGAAAAATATGGGAACTCATATCTGTAGTTTGACAGTCGCGATGCTGGAGTTTTCATATCTTTATCTTACCTCTCACCTCAATATATGTATGGCGTACATTCACTGCTGAAAAGACAGCCATTCTTGTGCCGATAGCGTTCTGAATTAATTAGGCCCCATATCCTTCACTGTCCGCTATGACTGCGTTAAATAACACAACCTTTGAAGGGGGAGATGTGAAGCGGCCCTTAACTGTAAAATGGTCATTATTTGATCTACCTCCCGCTTAAGGAGGTCGGTGCATATGGGTCTGTTTGGGGATGTATTGTTTTAGAGCAGCTCTTTTAGGGGTGGCTAGCGCTAAAATTTAATGTAGAATTACAGGAATGAATTGTATTCTTGTTTGCTTTTTTTCTTTTTCAACAATTTTCTTAAAATTTATTTTCTTTTGATGTACAGACACAGATATGTCTCTACATGCAGCTGTCACCTGCGTCTGTCGTCGCCGTTGCCGTGCACTTTTACCTATAACACGATAAGTGGAAAACCAATTTTTTTTTTCTTAAAAATAACTGAATGGCTGAATATTCATAATATGCAGGTCACGTTCGAAAATTAGCATGATCGGGCCATATTTATGGAAGTTATGCTGTTTTTTTTTTCACTTTTTTAATCATATATGCAACACCGATAACACGATAAGTGGAAAACCGTTTTTCCTTTTGGATTGAAAGTTACAGAACTGATAAATATTCATAATATTCAGGTCAAGTTCGAAAATCAGCATGATCGGGCCGTTTTTATAAAAGATATGCTGTTTTGTTTTCACTTGTTTAATCATATATGCAACACCGATAACACGATAAGTGGAAAACCGTTTTTCCTTTTGGATTGAAAGTTACAGAACTGATGAATATTCATAATATTCAGGTCTAGTTTGAAAATCAGCATGATCGGGCCGTTTTTATAAAAGATATGCTGTTTTGTTTTCACTTTTATCAACATTTATGCAACACCGATAACGCTATAAGTGGGAAATCGTTTTCCTTATGACTGTCAACAATCTTATTTTTGAACTAATTAGATATTTAAAGGTGTTCTTTTGACATTTTCTGCATCTTAAGGATATTGTTAGTTGATTATATAAAAATGATGGTAAACCTGGTATTGTGTATTTGAAATAAAGTGTCCAAAATGGAAATAAACTCATATCTTTACAGTTTGTCAGATTCAATTATTTACTATGTTCAGAATCTCAGAATGTAGCAAATTGGACAGTTAAAATTGTTCTTTTGATATTTTTCCTATGTGAATAATTTTCTTAGTTGATTATCTAAATATGACAGTAAATTGATTATTGTGTTTTGTGTAAAAAAAGGTGTTGAATATGGAAATAAATCTTTTAAGTACAGTTATCTCTTGTTTACATTTTGGCCTTTTGAAGGTGCGACTCTGAACTTCCATGGCCTTGAAGACCTTCCATGTCACATTTTCTGAATATTAATGATACTTTTATTTTATTATTTAAAAATTGATGGTCATTATGCTGTTAAGCATTATAAAATATTGCATCAAAATTGCCTCCATAGTGACCATTAAGGGAAAAACCATGTCACTTACTCTTCTCAAAGGTACAGAAATGTGGCATAGGACTTAATTATAGCTTCAGTTAGAAAACCTTTCTTATCGGTTAACTTTTATGGAAATTATATAGTTTTTTGTTAGAATTAAATTTTTAACATATCGACACTGTCAATGTGTTACTTTGAACTTCCATTGGCTTGAAGACCTTTGCTAATTATATTTTCTGAATATCCATGATATTTTCACTTTATTATTAAACATTGATGGTAATTATGCTGTTAAGCATTATTTTATACTGCATAAGAGCTGAAGAAAATCATATTTTGGACACTGCTGCCAGGATGACCGTCAATGGAAAACCATGTTACTTATGGCACTTACTGAAAAGTTTCATAGGACTGAAGTGCAACTTCTGTTGGAAAATCATTGTGATTGTTTTCTGTTTTGGAAGCGATGCAGTTGTATAGAGTGCAGGGCCGTAGCCTCCGGGGGGCAGGGGGAGCAGCTGCCTCCCCACCCCCCTGGGGTTTGAGGTGCAAAAAAAAAAAAATAATCGCAAAGGTAAAAAAAAAATTAATAATTGCAAAGTTGGTATCAATTCTGTGAGAAAATGCACTCATGGCCACTCATGGTCTCAATTATGAGACAATCTACGAAATGAAGTCCAATATTGGCGTGTTGTGTTGAAAAAATGACTGTACTTATGGCAAAATGAACCTACAATTTCTGACTTCTGATTGAGCAATAAATAACAGTTAAAATGCACCAGAATGCAGTATTATACATACAGTTTTTTAAAATTTTCCACACCGTGGGAGGGGGACACCCCCTTCCACAACCTCCCCCCCCTCGGGGGTTTCACCCCCTAGTGTCCGCTTACTGCCCTCCCCCCCCCCCCTGGCATTTTTCTCAGGCTACGGCCCTGGAGTGCTATATGGTGCTACTGTATATCCAACAGAAGCTCTGTGCATTTTCTGTATTTCCACACGAGCAGTTGTATTGGTTTTTATGTCGTTAAACATTAGGTAATATTGGGTAATAACCGTTCCTTTTGGCCAAAAAATTAAATTCCCTGGAGCAAACAACCATTTTCCCATACTTACCAATGGTTAATGAGTCTATTTCTGCATTCAAAGTTAGTCGCTGTTTTTTTTAAAGTTTGTTTTTTTAGTAATAATCTCTTAAGAGATTATAACAGAGTATAACCATCTATGGATGTCACGTGGTCCAATGACAAGCTCAGATATCAGACTAATAGCTGTATCTGCCGTTTTTTTTTTTTTTTTTTTTTTTTTTTTTTTTGTGGTAAAACAGAATATATTAAATTTCTATGAGTTGTTTACAATGTTTGTATTGTGAAATGTAGATCCTTATCCCTTTAAGTGTTGATTGACTGTGCTGTTATAAGCATTATTTATTATTTTGTCAACATTGACAAAATTACCCATTTTCTGCATCTTTATTTTCTGCTTTTTTTCTGTACATTTGACAGCTTTGCTGCCTTGTTAAGATGCTACTGCTGCACAGCCAGTTGAGTATAAAAGGGCATGGATAACAATGAAATGCATTCTTGATAACGTGTATTTTCCCTATCTTATGAATAAAGATAATATATATTTGAAAACCAAAAATGTCAATGTCCACGACATACAAGTATCTTTGAAAAAAGCAAAGCATTGACGTTTTTTAATATTTACCATTATTTACCAAACAGATAAAATCCTTTAAATTTATTATGATGAGAATTTATCTCTTCGTCGGTGGCATATATACATATATACATATATAGTGTATCATCTTTTTTCGCTTTTTGATAAAAAATGATTAGCTTTGTAATATTTACAGCTTGCAAGGGCCAGACAGACATAACAATCATCTTGGACGGATCTGAAAGCGTCAACGCACCCGACTTTGCCAAACAACTGCAATTCATCAAGTTTTTGGTGAGGAAATTTGAGGTTGGACCAAACGCGGTACAGGTCGGCGTTCTGCAGTGCTATTCCTACGCGGTGCAGGAGTTTAACCTTAACACTCACAGCACCGAAGCCGCCATCTTAGACGCCGTCGACAGGATCAAGCAGAAGAGAGGTGGCACTAACACAGCTTATGCCCTCTCCACCGCCCGCACCAGCAGTTTCACGGCTGCCAAAGGCGATCGGTCGAACGTCCCGAACATCGTTATCGTCATGACTGACGGCAAGTCTGACAACAGAATGGCGACCGTCAAAGAAGCGATAATGCTGCGTAATATTGCGTCTGTGTACACAATCGGTGTTGGAAGTGATGTTAATACTGACGAGTTAAAGGCCATAGCTAACGTCCCAGATAGCAAATATGTGTTTACAGTGACAGACTATAGTGCGCTGTCAAGTATAACAACACAGTTAGCCACGGATGCTTGTACACGTGAGTAGCTAGTGCGTCCACCGCGATGAGGGAGTTTTCATATCTTTATCTTACCTCTCACCTCAATATATGTATGTTGTTCATTCACTGCTGAAAAGACAGCCAGTCTTGTGCCGATAGCACTCTGAATTAATTAAGCCCCATATCCTTCACTGCCCGCTATGACTGCGTGAAATAACACAACCTTTGAAGGGGGAGATGTGAAGCGGCCCTTAACTGTAAAATGGTCATTATTTGATCTACCTCCCGCTTAAGGAGGTCGGTGCATATGGGTCTGTTTGGGGATTTGTTGTTCAAGAGCATCTCTTTTAGTGGTGGCTAGTGCAAAAATTTTATGTAGAAATATAGGCATGAATATTATTCTTATTTGCTTCTTTCTATTTCAACGATTTTTTCAACGTCTCTGATTAAATTCATTTTCTTATTTAGAGGCCACTGCTGCGCCGCAGATAAAAAATAAAAGGGCATGGATAATATCAATTCAGTTCAATACAATTTATTTCTGTACTGGTACATAGGTTATCATGACCTTGTACAATATGATATACTAATGACAAAACAATGGGTGTGTTACCATTTCTCTTGTTGGTAATTGTGTTGCGTGTTTGTGAATGAAAAAAACATCTATCTTTATATAATGAACAAATAAACTAGTAAAATTACTCACATAATATTCTCGCTAAGCGGCGCGATAAACCTTAGTGTGATTATAGATTTACCATGAACACGAATCGAGAGGCATATGGATACAATCATATGTACTGGTGCAGTCATATGTTACAAAAAAGTATCGGTACAAACTTACAAGGGAGGGGGAACTACAATTACATAAACAAATAGATACGTAAGTAACACAGTTACACATATATCTATATAGAAATATATTCTTGATTCTCTAAGTCGGTGGTATATTGTTAGTTGAAATCATGAAGGCAATTGTAAAGTACCAGTGACACATTTGACATAGCATTTAATATGGAGATTTGTTTTCCAAATCATAATTCATTATTATTATTATTTTTTTAATTTTTTTTTTTTTTTTTTTGCAGACTGATAGATGCAAATAATGATTTAAAACGTGCTTTAATAATTTTTAATTGTTTTATTGTGGCATCAGTTAATTTTAATTAGTTAAAACTGAATTCGCCGTGAAGCAAACAAAGATACATTGCCTATTCTAAGTCATACAACCATAGAAAGCTATATTTTGGATCTCCGTATTTTTCAAATTATCCCCATTTAAAAGAGTTACACGCCCCACAAAGGACCCTCATGTCAGTGTCTAGTGGCAGCAAAGGTCGCTGTTACGTCCGACCTCATCCGGCTCCTACAAGAGCTCTTAAATGGCAAGGCAATCCTTGAGGTGGCAAGGCAATCCTTGAGATGGGTTTTGGGAGTTAAATCTGGAATAGCATTCTACGCTACAACCAAAACGTGTCCAATTTGGTTCGGTTTTGTTGTAGGACACATAGGCCGTTGATTCGGCGAGTAACCCAAATGTTGTTTATGTGGATCAAATATGGCAATTCTGATGACCAATGTAGCTGAACTTTCCCTTAGTTCTGTACGTTATCTGCGATTAAAACTGCTCTGTGTGAAACGGCAATCTCATAGTGCAACCTAAAATTGTTCCTAAGGTGCCCCCTATCAAATGATAGTCAAGTGGTTCCCATATTGTTCTTTTTTTGATCTGGTCCAGGTTTTCATGGATGACTATCAATGCTGTTTTGACACCAATGTGGTATCCATTCCAAATGCTGACGCTGTCAGTGACCGTCACTTAAGACGCGGCACACGCCTTATCGCCCTTTTCAGGGTGTTTGTAAACTCTAGTTCGACTAGTTGAGTGGCACAGGTGAAATCTGTCCTCAGTAAAGAGAGCCACGCGGTTTCAGTGTTCTACTCAGATACGGCCATGGTCCCCAATTCATTAGAAAAACAGGCGACGCTGTTTTGCTTATAACAGTGGCTTCCTCAGAGGTCGTCTAGTATTCTAACTCGCTGAAACCAGTCTGGTGTTCGCTAAAACCCTTGAAAGACGCGTTTTGGTGACAATTTGCCCCTCCTTCTGATCGGACTGGTTGGTTTTTGTTTAGTTGCAGCCGCATATCCGGAAGGACAGTGAGTCCTGTACCCTGGCGGTAAGATTTCGATACATTAGGTGTGGCCTCTGTGTAGGAACATCAGTATAACTCTTTAAAACTGTGCGGACCGTTCCGTGTGACACGTCTTTTTCTTGCCATTCTGCCAGGGATTAACAATTTTGTTAATCACTGCTCAACTTTTTTTACCTACTGCAAAACCTGTGTGAACGGAACCGAGGGCCTACGAGGCCTAATGTAGTAAACGAAATATAAAAATCGGGAGCGTACATCCTACAAATTGAAGGGGATGCACCCTTAAAGGTGCCGTCAACGGCTCCAATTTAAAAATTTCTCTGACAAATGAATAGGTCTACTAAAATGAAAATAAATTTATTACAACTTCTTACGTGTTAAAATTTCTTAATTAATTTTTTTCATTCAGTTTATGAATATCAAAGTAATAAAGGTATAACCACACCGGTCATTTTAATACACACATTATTATTTATTATAAGTAACTTCCATTTAAGTGTGAGAGAAAAAGTCAAATCGGACATATAGTCCTAGTATAAATCAGGAAAACAGGTCCCATCCGGACTTGCATTCCTTGCAATGGGACTTGCATTCCTTGGTAACTGTTGTCCCAAGGACGTTAAATCCTAGTAACGTATGTCCTAGGTCATTCATTCCTAGAAACGCTAGACCTAGGACTTGCATTCCCAGGACTGAGTGTCCGGTCAGACTTGCGTAACTAGGACTACCATTCCGTTCACACCATGCAAAAGTTTTAAGTCTTCTTTGCAGTAGTTGCCGACAAATAGATACTTTTTTTGACATAACCATGCTTCGGCAAAGCCAAGGTTTCACCAGCCCAAAGAAGCACTATACCCAGTTAACTCCCTGCATGTTTTACAATGCAGCAGTGCAACAGACATGGTAGTTAGTTAATTGGTATCGACACACCTGACTACACACTTCTCCAGATATCTTATACTAGATCTGAGTATTTTTTAAAGTGCGCATTTTTACCTAGGCAAACCTTTGAAACTGAAATAGTCCATATAAATGTCACGTCTGTACCATCACGAGTTTTTATACAATTTATAAGAGTAAGTCCACCTCCAAACTACAATGTATATAGTATATCATCTTTTTTCGCTTTGTATATATATAACCTTGTAATTTTTACAGTTTGCAAAGACCAAGCAGACATAACAATCATCTTGGACGGATCTGAAAGCGTCAACGCACCCGACTTTGCCAAACAACTGCAATTCATCAAGTCTTTGGTGAGGAAATTTGAGGTTGGACCAAACGCGGCACAGGTCGGCGTTCTGCAGTGCTATTCCTACGCTGTGCAGGAGTTTAACCTTAACACTCACAGCACCGAGGCCGCCATCTTAGCCGCCGTTGACAGGATCAAGCAGAAGAGAGGTGGTACTAACACAGCTTATGCCCTCTCCACCGCCCGCACCAGCAGTTTCACGGCTGCCAAAGGCGATCGGTCGAACGTCCCGAACGTCGTTATCGTCATGACCGACGGCAAGTCTGACAACAGAATGGCGACCGTCAAAGAAGCGATCATGCTGCGTAATTTTGCGTCTGTGTTCGCAATTGGAGTTGGGAGTAATGTTGATACTGTCGAGCTGAAGGCCATGGCTACCGACCCGGATAGTAAATATGTGTTTACTGTAACAGACTTCAGTCTGTTGTCAAATATAACGACACAGATAGCAGCGGATGCTTGTGCACGTGAGTAGCTCTTTATAGATTGGCACAAAAATTAAAGCGTTGTCACCTGTATCTAACATTTATATATTATATTGCATCGCCAGGTAAGAATAATAGGGCTTGAATAACACGTGTTTCTCCCAATTTTACGAATTAAAATTATATGTATTTGAAATCCATACTTATGTGTCCTATAATGTATAAATACAATTTTCTTAAAAAATAGAAGCCGTACATTTAACGTCAACAATGCACAACAACAACAGTATTTATTTACGGAATAGGACACTATATCACTAGATCCGTGTTATGTATCAATTTTTATATCAATTCACAGTCGAATTAGCTTTACCTTTTAGCTGATATGTTGTATTTTAACTGTTAATTTTTGTTACCTTTCACAGAAACTACCACCAAGCCGGCATCAAGTAAGTATAACTCTCTCTCTCTCTCGCTCTCTCTCTCTCTCCTCACAAAAATGGCCACCACCCCCACTTCTCAAGATTTATTTGTATTATGGTGATTTCTTAATTTCTTGCAAAAGTCTGTTTGCCTGCTCCTTTGTCTGCGAGGTTTTGAGTTTGTGTGTTCGTCTTCTTCTTATTTTTCTAATGGTGGCTGCAACCGACAGCCTCCTTGTCAGACATCAGCATGGCCAGCTTCCTGATATGCTGGCAATCTATGATCTTGTAATTGACCTTTGACCTACTATTCACCATGAAACGCACTTCACAAATTTGGAATTGAACTTTTACTTTTCCCCATGATTTTGTCCTAAATTGTAATTTTCAACAAAAATTCTTGTTTACTGCACTTTGCACAGCTTGTCAAGCAAACACTGAAGGTGGTGTCCCTTTTTTGTTTTCCATACTAATGTGCTTACTCTAGCTGGTGGTACAATGCCCGAAGGTGGTATCACCTCTCTGATTCCTCTAAGATTTTAAGGGCATGCATATCACATTTTTCGCCCTATCTTACGAATTAAAATTATATTTATTTGAAATCCATAACCATAAAACCATATGCTCTACAAATACAATCATTAATCTTTTTAAAGATTAAAAAAAATAATAAAAAGCGAAACGTTGTCAATATACATTTACAAATGGAACTCTCCAGTTTATCAGTCACTATATCACTCGATCCGTGTTATGAATAAGATTTTATTTCGGCAATTCTCAGTCAAATTACCTTTATCTTTTAGCTGATATGGTGTATTTAACTGTTAATTATTTGTTTCCGTTAACAGAAATTACCACCACGCCAGCATCAAGTAAGTATGACCTCTCTCTCTCTCTCTCTCTCTCTCCTCGCAAAAATGGCCACCATCCCCACCTCTCAAGAGTTATTCGTATTATAGTGATTTCTCAATTGCTTTCGAAAAAGATTTCGCATATCTATAAATCTGCTCGTTTATTTGTGAGTTTTGGAGTTTGTGTGTCCGTCTTCTTATTTTTCTAATGCAACCGACAGCTTACATGCCGGTACATCCTCGTCAGACATCATGGCCAGCTTCCTGCTATCTACGGTGCCCCTGGCCTTTAACGTATCTATAGCTGGTTCCGGTCCGTCCCCTCCGGTGATGGCCATGACGGGGTTCCCAAAAATAAGAGCTTGTACTTGACCAGTTCGCGGTGGCGGTTAAAGTTGCCTTTTGTGGTTGTGCGTTTCGGTAAATTTTTGTCCGGCTGTAGAGGTCACAATTTTAGAGATCAACAGAAAACCTGTCAAATAATGGTGATTGTGCAGTTGTTTACTGACGATAAACTTGGAAACACGTTTCGCCCTATCTTGTTAGATGTTGGAATCAAGTTCCTAAATGAAACGTTTTCTACGGTGAAGGTGCGCTACCATTATAACTTCTCTGGTGTGATTTCGTTCGGCATGCCTTACCCAACAATTTTACCCATATGTCTGTTTGTTTATGATGTTGTCTAAATCTTTGGATTGTTCTCATGGAAAAACCCAATTCTCTTGCATTTGTCGGGTTAAAATGCCCTCCTATATTAAACGCTTGGTAAAAATGTATCTCCCTCTCTTGGGGGCCGCATATAAACAATATAATTGGTGTTGGGATATTTCAATGCTTACGCTAGATACCTTGTAGGTCAATTTTCTATTACTCAGATCCCCAACGTACAAGGTGAAGGGTTGCCTAGTTGCCTGTGTAATAGTAAAGTGAAATGATTATAGCAATGTACAAAATGCGGTAGAGGTCAGTTGCAAATTTAGAGGGGGGGGGGCAGTATTGTATTGTATTTGTATTTTCAAAAACCGAAGAGGGGGGGCATGGAGGTCCTGCCCCCCCCCCTTCGGTTTTTGAAAAATATATCACACCAATATTCCTCTCTTTAAATTAGAATTTTGACTAGTTAAATCATAGTTCTAAACCGTATCAAAGTGCTCTGTTTGCTCTCCGAAACACCAAAAAATTTCGGGGCCCTTGAGCAGGGCCCGAACCCCACACCAAGACGCTGATGGTCGGCTTCGCATCCAAGGTTATCGTTCCGGACCCCCCTTCAAATAATCCTGGATCCACCACTGTATTATGTTAAAAAAAAAGAGTTTTGAAAGTATCCTTTTCGGCAATCTCAATACCCGGTAGGCCGATATATGAAGCTTCATTGTAGGCCATAAGTCGAGCATAGTTTATAAAATGTTGCTACTATATAAAGGCATCACATATATATTTCAGTGTAATAAAAAATACCTCAGACTCTTATCATTTAGTGACAAGCGTAAATACGCAAGGGCTGTCAATTCGTCAAATAACATGAGATATATTTTTAGTGGCGGATTTAGAGGGGAGGGGGGGTCAGGGGGTCCGATTCGAAAGTCTTTGCTAAGTGGGGAATTTTTTTTTTCGACATTTGGTCTTTTCAGTCTGTTTGGTGTTGTTTTATATTAAGCGGCTGTTATAGGGGCTGTGTGCAGGAAATTTCAGGTAAAAACACGGGAATGAATTGTAATCGTATCTGCTCTTTATTTCAAAGATTCCTTCAGTTTGCAGATACCAAAGGCGTATATTAAACTGTTATTTGTTTGTTTCCTTTTAACAGCAACAGTGACGCCGCCTTTTCTGCCATGCTTTTATCGTGGTCGAGAAAAAATATGTCCGTAGGATGAAGACTCTCAAGTAATGCAAGTCCTACGTGGGGAAATACACGTCTTACTAGACCATACTACACGAGACTGAATTTACTAGTATAGACAGTTCGCTTTTGTTCTGTTTCATGAATACGACGTCTTGCAGTCACATTTTGTGTTTTTTATATTCAGATGGCAATAAATTAAAAAAGACAAACATCACAGTTGTGTTAGATTTTTGTTCATTAATTTTTGTGTTATTTTTTCCTCTACATCAGTGTTTTGATGGCAGGCATTAACGCAGCCTTGCAATGAGGGAAATGTCGCAGTTAGACAGACAAATTTAATTAACAAATTGTTCAAATGAATCTTTACACAAAACATGGGATATCTTATAGAGTTTGATTAAAGGGATAATAACTCTTCATTTTGGCCAAAAAATAATAATAATGATAATAATAATAATAATTTTCCTGGAGTAAAACAACCAACAATTTCCCATACTTACCAATGGTTAATGAATCCATTTTTACATTCAAAGTTAGTCCCTGTTTTTTTCTAAAAAGTTTTTTTGTTATAATCTCTTAAGAGATTATAATAGAGAATAGCCATCAATGGAGGTCACGTCGTCTCAATTATCAGAATAATAGCTATAACTACCGTTTTTGTTGTACAACAGAATAAAATAATTTTTATGAGTTGTTCACAATGTTATTATTGTGAAATATAGATCTCACATGAAGAGTAATTATCCTTTTAATATTTAATTTTGCATTAAGAAGAGTCACAAACTCAAACTCATTGGAAAAATTTTCTGTCAACGGTCTGTCTGTAAACGCCAATTTTAATTCCAGTACGAAGATTGTCAAAAAAATCCCCCGCTGTTACACCTTTTTTTATGTACAGACACAGNTTTCTGCAACAAATCACTCAGCAGTTGAGAGTTGTGGGCAAGTGCACTTCCACGATGACACCTGCAGTATCCCTGGAGTCACCTCTTGCAAATGGAGTGAGATATTTGTTGAGAATGTTTCAGTGAATTGCCCAAGTATCGTTCTTTTCCGGAAAGAACAATGCACTAAAACCATGGAATTCTCTCCTAACGTGGACTGACTTGACACCTGAGGCGACATTATCCTGCACAAAACTATCAAAAAGCATTTTGCAACTTGTCTACGGGCCCTAATTTGACCGTCGAAGGCATACAAGAAATACCCTGATTTGTCAGCAAAACCAACTTGTTCCTAGTGATGGTTGACAAAGTTCTGGCCGTTCTGGGGTCATTGAAGCTAATATTCTCAACTGATATCTCATTCCATCTGCAAGAGGGGACTTCGGGGATGATCCAGGCTTCATCATGACAGCACACTTGCACACAATTATTACGTGGGGAGTGATGTGTTGCAGAAACCCAATGTTCTGAGGCTGGTGAAACCATCTTTGAATCCTGATAATAAACCTATTGAGCATCCGTGGCATGAATTGAAGTGTGCAATCCAAAGGAGAACTAAACCCATAATTGTCCGGACCAATTCCGCCAAGCTTTTTAGGCAACATGTGGCAATATCCCACAAAACAGAATCGTTACCCTTGTTGCAGGCAGGCCGCGCCGCCTACAGGAGATAATTACAGTACGCAGTAAACACACACGCTAATAGACACGTGACCTTTAACGAGCACACCCTAATGCTAAATGTGTGTAAATTTGGTAACATTTGGTGGTGTCAATTCAATTAAATGGACATTTCTTTACCTTCGTGGAAATGACAGTGGAATATCGGATTTGAAGGGGTACTTGTAATAAATGTGAATATATGGTACTAAATATGGGTATATAACCGCTAGTTTGTATATTCTGTACCATTCATCATGTTAGTTATGGTATCTGGAATGAAAATCGCCATTTATAGCAATCAACTCCTGTGATGTGATCATTTATAAATAAAAGCACATGAAACTGGGTGTGAGACAACCTTTTTGACCAATGTTGTAGTTAATTTATAAAGAAGTAGAACGAAAAAAAAAAACACCTGCGAATACTTCCATTTTGAAGACCTTTTATCAGTTTAGGGAATATGACTAAATCGTCACATGTAGAGCAAAAGGTCTTCAAAGGCCAATCTCACCCCAGGTTTGGCCCAGATAATGACTTTATATACCGTAATGATATGTGCCGTTTTACAATTTTCTTAATTCTTGGAAAAAAAAACTAATCCTTTTTCAAGTCTATAAATCAAGCACATTTAGACTATTATTTCAAGACAGGTTTGCCGTGATATTTGAAAAAACAAACAAACAAAACAACCTTTAGCTAATAATAATAATAATGCCCTTTTTGTCTCTGTATTAGAATTTAAAGATACATACGTCTTTGAGGTGGGCTTGCTGTTATTTTTATTCGTGACAAAATTCAACGGCCCGTGAACAGTTAAAGCTTCTGTCGTGCTCTGACCTTGTAATGGAAAAGAATCAAGCTAAGCAGATACTTTGACAGAGATGGCATGATATAAAGTAATGGAGATGAGCCTTTTCTTGTACTTTCCTAATTAGTAAATAAAAACCCATATTCATTATACTCGTGTTTAAATCAAGTGAAAACAGGTCGCTGCACCCTGTATACAGTTTATTTATTTATTTATTTATTTATTTATTTATTTATTTATTTATTTCGGTTCACTTCTTTATGCATGACCGTGTGGCGTACCGAATCCAATACGTAGAATTAAACATGATAATAATAATAATAATAAGAAGAAGAAGAAGAAGAAGAAGAAGAAGAGAAAGACGAAAAAAAAGAAAATTATATATATATATATTTGCAAAATTCTTGATGTTAATATTTTCTGAGCACTTAGCTCAAAAACTAAGCAATCTAACACTCATTCAGCATTCTGAAGTCTTAAAATTCTCATAACTTTCTCTTCGACGGGCACCCGTCCTATGGCTTAAGTTGAGAGTTATTCAACGTTTGATTTTATACATATATATTATCAGGGGCGGATCCAAGATTAAATGAAGGGCGGAGGGGGGGGGATGCGGAGCCGACCCCCCCCCTCCACCCCTTGGTGTGGGGTTCGGGCCCCGAAAAGTTTTGGTATTTTAGAGGACGAATGGTGTCATTTGGTACTGTTAAGAAGAAAGATTCAGCTAGTCAAAATTGTAATTTCAAGAGGGCACCATTGGTGTGATTTTTTTCAGGAATCAAAGGGGGAATCAGGACCCCCCACACATACACACACACCCCTCTAAATCCGCCACTGTATTATCATATATATGTTGTTGTATATATATATATATTGACCTACTATAAGGGCAATGTTATGGTACGGCTGGCGCAAAATCAGAAGTGCACACGTGACAATTTAATCATTAACAGTTGTTCCAATTATTGACCCCAGGCATACGTTCACCAATGCCTGGGGACCTCAAAGGGGACCCAAAGCGATGTTGGTTATGCATATATATTAGTACACTGGTAAAAGGGCTGCGTTATTTATTTGTTTATATCCCGCGATCAATTGTTTTGGTTTAATACGTGGCAGTGTAAGTGAAACGTAATCACTGAAATTGTCAAATTGCGGACAGGTTTATGTTAATATTTACAGCAGTACGCGGCAATCTGTACTTTTAGATAAATCTTGATTATTTATTTATTTGCTATGTCCATTTACGCAATACACTAACAAACGCTGTTTTTTCTCTATTATTGTCGCTAGATTAAGACTTAGACCTATTTAATTTACATTCAGTGCACTTTACGCACGTGAGGATTTTTACGATAAGTTTGCATTGCGACAGATAAAGAAGAAAATTAAATTAAATTAAATTAAATTAAATTAAATTAAATTAAATTAAAAAAAAAACAAAAGCGTCAATTAAAGCATTTTAAATCCAAACATCTGAGATCGATTGATCTCCCAGGGCGCTCTAGTTTTGGATTCTTGTTCCTGTATCTGGTACCAGAGCTTAGAATTTTCTTTTTATGCAGTCTCGGTTATCATCACCAATACACTAGATAACAGGAAGGTTGCTTAAACGTCCTGAGCGGTTTTAAAAAAGAGATATAGCAGAAAAATAGGTCTAAACTTTAACATTCAATTTTGGCCTATTTTGATTCAGGACAAATCTCTAGTGGTTTACTTATGTAAAGTAATCAAGCATTGATCTAAAATTTGGCATATGTTTCTCGTTACAAAACGGGCAAGTTAACCCATTAATTGGACGCTACTGATTTACTTTGCGTCAAAGATAATTTGGTCTTAAGGCTAAATCCGTGTCAGCCCATAGCTTCTCTTGTGAAACCGCCCCACAACATACATAGGCGTAGTTCTAGCGCGTGAGCAGCACGTGCGCCTCATGATAATGTAATATATAATGGATTGCTTTGTGGTTGTTACGGGCATCCTTAGGATGGCATCTGAAAACTGCAGCTGCCTTTAAGACACCAATTTGCTTGGCTTCAACTTTGCTGTCGAAAAGGGTGACCAGGAATATGACACCTTCAGCACGATGTATCGTACTTTTCATTGCAGCAGCTAACAGTCTTTTCTCTTGTTCATCGGGCGTTAATGTTACGTTCAGTCCAAAGAATATTCTCCTTATTGAGGAAAAAGATACAACGCTTCACTTCAACTACAGTTGTTATGGCTGGATGAACAATTCCATACGCGCTTGGACCAAGGACAGTCGGGTTGCCAGTGCCCGGTACCTTGACGACAGTTTCCATGGTGACAACAGTTCTGTATCTATGACGACAACCAACCCAAGTGCTGTTGTTACTCCGCAGCTAAATGTAGAATGCAGTGGCAAAATTCAAATCAATGCTCGGCGGCTTGGACGGACCGAGATTAGCTTAGAGTTTACGTATATAACAGTAAATAACTACCAAAAAGCAGACTCACCGGTGCTTCAAACTGAGACCGTCGTCTACCCTGAGCTGGTGGTAATACGTGCACCACGGCTTGTAGATCAGATTTTTAGGTATGTCACGACAACATTGGTTGCTATTATTACGTTCTTAATGGGATGCACGCTGAACCTGGAGACTGTGAAAGGCATTCTGAAGAAACCAGTCGCTCCTTTGCTGGGGTTTTGCTCTCAGTACCTGATGATGCCTCTGGTGAGTGGTTCTTAGGGTGCTTTCCCAGAGGTTTAGATCGATCTAAAGATTAAGTTTTAGATCGACCTAACTCCCTGGGGGTTCACGCTAAATTGCAGTCAGCCGAGCGGGTCCCATAGTTAATTACCCCCTTACAGCTTTTAGTAGGCGGGACAGACGCTTAAGCCGGCCAAGCTGACAGTAATCTAGTGAGACACCCCACAGGGATAGATCGATCTATAAATCTATGGAAATGGGGTGTTAGAAACATACATACCTAAAATAAGAGCGTATTCAGAACAGTAGTCTTACAGATCCGCGGACCAAATATGGCGACCTAATGAAAACTTAATTCCCGATTAAACACTGAATAGATTCCCCGCGGAAATTGTGCAACAAGCATACACAGGCCCGTAGCCAGGGGGGGGTTCGGGGGGTTCGAAAGAACCACCCTTTTTGCTGGGAAAAAGGTCAACTCTGGATAAAATTTTATCTAGGTACATGAAGGTTTTATGGTAAAAGGTCCATTTTTTCAGAAAACGAACCCCCATTTTAAATTGCTGGCTACGGGCCTGATACAAGTGGGTGGACCATATTTGATCCTCGGATCTGTTAGTCTGCTGTTCTTTCTGCACTGTTTGTAATCGTTGCTTTGTTCGGTTTTAGAGGTGTTTTTCCTGTGAAATGCCAGGACTTTCTTTGGGTTTTTGTGTCAAATAAAACGCTGGCACCCTTTCGTAATATATATATTCTTTGTTCTGGCAAGTGTCGCATGAGGAACAATGAATTTTCTCAAACATAACGGATACAGGTAGTGCATATCTTTTGCCTAAACATGTCCAAAAGATGCGAATCTTTAGAGAATCTTAAGAGTTTAAATGTTTTAACATTTCTTAAAAGAAGACACTATGTTTTGCAGATTAATTTGTCTTTGCTTAATAATAATAATAACATTTGTTTATATTTTGCAGCTGGCTTTTGCAGTCTCTCAGATCACTCAGGTGGAACCCGCGTTTGGACTGGGCCTTCTGACCATAGGCTGTAGTCCCGGGGGTGGGGGCAGTAACGTCTGGGCCGTCATGTTAGGCGGGGAACTGGAGCTCAGCATCACTATGACGTTTCTGAGCACTTGTCTGGCTTTAGGTGAGGAGAGAGATAGAGAGAGAATGTGTGTGTGTGTGTGTGTGTGTGTGTGTGTGCCACTGTGTGTGTGTGTGTGTGTGTGTGTGTGTGTGTGTGAGAGAGAGAGAGAGAGAGAGAGAGAGTATCTACTTTATGAAAACTAATTACCATAAATTGCCAATCACTTCTACATAAGTATAACGTCCTAATACAGAGAACATCATTTTGTTCTAGGCATGATGCCACTGTGGCTATTCCTCCTGGGACGTTTCTTCATCGATGAAAGTAAGATTAAGATCCCATATGACAGAGTGGCTACCACTATAGCCGTCATAGTGGGACCCGTCACCTTGGGGTTGCTTCTACATCTAAAGAAACCCAAGCTGGCCATGAAATTAAAACGTCTTATTCGTCCACTAGCGTTAATTTTTCTGATATACATTAACTCTTTCGGGCTGTACGTCAACTGGTTTGTATGGGGTTTGCTGGCAGACCAACCTTATCTACTGGCAGTCGGAATCATCACACCTTGGTGCGGATACATATTTGGGTTCATCCTCGCAAAAATATTCAGACAGTCCAAAAGACGCGCCATAACAATCGCCTTGGAAACCGGGATCCAAAACATCGGCATACCAATGCTCATTCTGCGGTTCTCGCTTCCTCAGCCTGATGGAGACTTGGGGTCCCTGATGCCTTATCTTCAGAATTTGTCTCAGTCGCTGCCGCTGTATCTTATTCTGATCGCGTTAACCATTAAACGTAGGTGCTGTGATAAAAGGGACGACGAGGCGAGTGAGTGCGAGTTAAAAGATATTAGCGAAGTTGACAACAGTGTGTGCAACTCAGCGTTTGAAAAGCACGAGAATGGAGTTGTTGTAGACGCCGAAATGTTTGAGAAGGAAAAAGACGAAAAATAGGTGTGTTTAAAACGACCGGTAGAGACGCAGATCCATGTCTCTATAAGCACATTCAGAACAGTGGACTAACACCTCCTCGGATTAAATATGGCCGACCCACTCGAATGCTTCTTGCATAATCCCCGCGGGGAATCTATTCAGTGCCTGTCTAATCGGGAATTAAGCGGCAAGCTTTTTAGAGGGTCGCCATATTTGACCCGCGCGATCCGTGAGTCCGCTGTTCTGAATGCGATTTATGTGGTACGTTTGTGCACCGCCTGTAATCCAAGTTTTTGACCGAGACTGCAGTTATTAAAAAAAACTAGATACTCCTTTTAATTATTATTATTATTATTATTATTATTATTATTATTTTGATAACGGTGTCTGGAGTTGTACATTAACTAATTCACTGGACTCTTATTTAACTGGACTCTTATGCTTGCATGTTACCCACGAAGTAACTATAGTCGGATAGCCTAGCTTGATTCCGTGCAGTTGGACGAAAACGCTTATCAGTATTCCGAATACCAAATGAAGAAAACCCGCACGATTAATCGTGTCACCTACGAAAGACAATTTGGGTCGCTTAAGGATGCCGATTGGAATATTTTAACTGATCCGATCATTCAAATATTTTTTGTGTATGAAGGTTAAAAAATTGCTTCCCTTTGCGAGTAATCAAACTGTCTCCCGCCTTGTTCTTCATCAGCTTAACACGGGCATGCGTATATAGACAGTTACGTTCATATTGCCGTTAACTAGAGAACAAAAGCGTGTCATCGGTTATCATGTTTCTATATTAAAGTGTTCCATTGCCTGTTAAATGCATACAAATACGTACTTTAACCAATACAACCCGTCTCATTCTATTTAAAAAGGCTCTGATAATTGAAGTAGCATGTAGTAGTTAAAAAAGAAAAATAATAAGAATAAAAAAGTTAGTGATACTGAAAGCAACTTGATCGATCCCCGTTTTTTTTTTCTTTTTTTAAAAAAAAAATATATAAAGGTAACAGTTAAAACTAAACAAAACATACTTTGCCTGCTACGACTTTTGATAATTTCCATCAGACATTTCGTAGTCGACGTAATCAAAAAATAAAAATAAAAATAGACAATAGACAATAGAAATGAACAAAGCAGCACGTCTTTGAGTTTGCATAAGGTCTTTCAAGGTTATGACGGTAGAAAGGCACGTAAAGAGAGACCAAAATCCTCTCCTCTCGTTCAATATCCCATGGCACAACCTGATATAAGTGGTTTACATATTATTACATTTGTCCCTCCTTTCTGTCAGCTAAAAATCCTGAATTCTGACCTCCCAAACAGTGACCTTGACCGAATAAAATCTCGACCAGTTAAATTGGGCTTTGTTCCACCAAGGAGTTATAACTCCTTGGTTCCACTGTCAAGTTTCATAAGTAGAATCTGTCCAAAATATAAGTCCCTATAACTGCCAAATCGTATTTGACTTTAAATTTACTTCGTACCTTTGTTTGGGTAAAAAGATCAATATTTTTTTGCGAAAATATGCATGACCAAAGTGGCACCTAGACTTTATATATATGTCCCGGAGCCCCACTGAGACACATAAAAAACTACATAGGAAACACTTCTAGCCTCATGCATGTAATGGAGTGAACGGTTGTGACCTGTCGGCCAAAAAAAGCTTTATCTCACTTTATTTGCGAAAGCCAGGTTTGTCTGCATAAATGTTGCTAACATTTGCTCGACGGTTGTTATTGTCACTGTCGCCGTAGAACGTACTCAATCTTTCACTGTCAAAATCAGTTTGTTTTAGTTTCGATTTGTTAGGTTCAAGATCGGTCGCAATTATATCTCGCCTTGTCTTCTCTAACGCAACCAACGTCAGCTTGCTAGAATCGCAACCATCTTCAACAGGAGCATTGATTGCTAACGAAATACGTTTAATTTTGTCCCACTTATTTATACTTTCTTTATCATTTGCCATTGAAATTAAATCACAGTTCTGTTTTAGTAGATGAAAAAACGCAGGAAAAATTCTTGGCCAATTTCTTCATCCTTTCAGCTTTTACCCTTTGAATCATAGGTAATAAATAGCTTATTTTTACAGATTTTTATCCAACTGGTCAATCATTTTATGCACAGTAACAACCACCATCCACTTCCTGAACGAGGTTGCAACCCTCAGTGGCAATAACATTCTTCAAACACCCTCATAATATGAACAATGTAAAATAATATAAACGTATGGGATAAGGAGACCCCACAAAAAATCGAACAATTGACCATTGAAATATGAATAAATTTATTCATTCATTTCCATGTCAACAGTTTGCAGTGACATTTTATTCTAGTTTTAAAATTTCATTCAAACATTATAAATGTTTAAAGTACACATGGCAAATGGAGCGCAATTTACACATACCCCTGTATACATTTAAAAGATTTTTTAATTGTACAATTAATTACTGAATGAAGATTACAAAACAGCATATTGACGAAAAGCAAATGTACTTGTTATTTCATTTAATTCAAAACCAGGATGTCTGTGCCTTACGTGTACAAGATAATATTAAACTTAATCCGCCACATAGTTTGTCGTGTGATTGATGCTTCCTTCACTCTAATTGTTCAATCGTTTTATTTTGAAGTTTATCTTTATCTTTTGCTGTTACGCGAGGTAGTAAATAAAACTCTTTTATTATCTTTCATATAAGTTATAAACTACTTTCTAGTTAGTCCCCGCGTAGATTTCTTCCCGTTTCTATCTCTACCTCATGCAATCTCTAACGGCCATCTCTCGTTTACATTACACGCACTTGTATAACTATCATGAGAGCATGTCAATCAACTCTGTTACTCTATAAAACACTCCCCGTTCCTTATTTTTTCCTGGCTGTCAATTGCTAATATTACATTATTGATATTATGTGTCCCTCACTTCAATTGGTCAGTCGTCTTATTGATAATATGTCCCTCATTTCAATTGGTCAGTCGTCTTATTGATAATATGTCCCTCACTTCAATTGGTCAAAACCACGGACTACGACAGGGTCAAAATTATGCTTGGTGGTTACGTCAAAGGTCAATATTGTATGATAAAATACACTGAATTCTCGGATATAAGATTGTATTCTATGCTAATTATACAACAGGATGAAATAATGTTTAATTTATATTTGATTATAAAAATGTTGATAATTCAATTCCAAAAACTGCGCACAGACTTCGAGTCCCAAACGTCTCGACTTTTTCATGAATTTAGACAGCTCTGTACTACTTAATGTATAAAAATCATCTAAAGTCTTACTTGGCTCTTTCTGAAATACAATATGTATTGAAATGTACAAAAATATAACGTTTTATAAAAATAGTTCATCTTGAAGAATGTCTTCAAATTTCTTCAAATGGCCGACAACTTGTCGGAGACGACCTCCTTGTCTTGTCCACTTCCTTTGACGTTGCTATTACCATTCAAAACCACACCATCTGATTTCAAATTCTCCATTTCTTCTTCTTGTTTCGCTTGTTCGTACTTTTCATCCTTGCAACACCGTTTCTTTATTGCCATCACGGCGATGCCTATCCACAGGGGGAGAGGGGTAAATGTGGCGGCTGCCGCCACGGCGACAATACCCAGGTCTCCAAGCGGTGGCGGGAGAGTGAATTTCAACACCAGCATTGGCACGCCGATGTTCTGGATCCCAGTCTCTATTGCTATGGTGATGATGCGATAACGAGGCTGGCGAAGAATTGCGGCCACCGCTGCTCCAAGAGTGAAACCCACCCACGGCAGCATGGCGCCCGCCGCGAGTGTTTTGGGAGTGAACATTTGGAAGATGTACAAGTTGGCGTAGATTCCAAAGCTAAAGATACAGAGGATTATTATAACCATGATTGGTTTGATTAATTTGCCGATTTTCTTGGCAAGTTCTGGTTTCTTGTAGCGTATTGCAACGCCAACAGAGACCGGCACCATGATGCTTACGAGTGAGATGAGAATGTTCTGATAAGGAATGACTATTTTGTAATCTGGTCCTTGTAAGTAGAGCTGACCTAGGGTGAACAACCACAGCGGGATCATACCTAGTGAAAAAAAAAATAAAATAATATCTATACCTTCCAGGGTGACCATAACATTTCAACACCTTGTTTGGTACGTGTACAACAACATAGGGCGCATTCGGAACAAGTTGATCCACGGACTAGCAGATCCGCAGACTAAATATGGCCGATCCATAAAAAAGCGATGCCGCCAATCCCCTGATGGTCTCCCCCCCCCCCCCCCATCCAAACGAGCCTTCGCTGCTGGGGCCTAGTAGTTAAACTTCAGAGCCGAGATTCAATCTGTTAAATGACACGTGTGGAGGCGGGGAGACCATCAGGGCCTTTAAGTGGAGTTGGCCACATTTAGTCGGCGGACCAGTTAGTTCTGAATGTGTTCATAATAGTGACACTGAATATATTGCAATAGAACATATGCACGAAAGAGAGAGAGAGAAAGAGAGAGAGTCTGAATATTGAAACACTTACCGAGTGAAGCCACAGTGCTGATCAGTGTCATCGTCACACTGAGAGAAATGTCACCATTGAGTAGGTAGGTGTAGACGTTGCTCACTCCACCCCCGGGGGAACACCNGCCCAAAAAAAAACGGAGGCCCCCCAACCCCCAATGGGTCCCCCCCCCCCCCCCCCCCATCCAAACGAGCCTTCGCTGCTGGGGCCTAGTAGTTAAACTTCAGAGCCGAGATTCAATCTGTTAAATGACACGTGTGGAGGCGGGGAGACCATCAGGGCCTTTAAGTGGAGTTGGCCACATTTAGTCGGCGGACCAGTTAGTTCTGAATGTGTTCATAATAGTGACACTGAATATATTGCAATAGAACATATGCACGAAAGAGAGAGAGAGAAAGAGAGAGAGTCTGAATATTGAAACACTTACCGAGTGAAGCCACAGTGCTGATCAGTGTCATCGTCACACTGAGAGAAATGTCACCATTGAGTAGGTAGGTGTAGACGTTGCTCACTCCACCCCCGGGGGAACACCCCAGGGTAAAGAGCCCTAGACCCAGGGTGGGATCCAATTGTAGAGCGTGTGTCGCGGCAAAGGCAGTCTGGAATGAATTCATATACAGTTATATGTACAGGGTCAATGAATTGTGCGTCACATGGACACGATAAATTATACAGACTTGACATTTAATATGGAATATTTTTTCCAAATCATTTTTCATCAGTTTTTTTTCTATTTTGCTGACTGATGAATGAAAATAAGGATTACAATCGTGTTTTAATAACTTTAAATTATCTCTTTGATGTCACTGTGACATCAATTAATTAATGGAATTCGCCAGAGAAGCAAACAAAAACACATTGCCTATTCTATGTCATACGTTTTCCATTAAAACTGGTATTTTGGGTCTCCATATTTTCCTAATTATCGTCTGTAAAAGAGTTATACGCTCCACAAAAGACCCTCATGTCAGTTGCTATAGTCACAGTAATGGTCGCTGTTACGCCTGGCCTCTTCTGGCTGTTGCCAGCGCTCTCAAGCGGCAAGGCATTCCTTGGGGTAGGTTTTTTTAGTTCAATCTGGAATATAATTCCAGGCATCGGTCTAAAATTGTCCAATTTGGTCCAGTTTTATTGTAGGACATGTGGGCAGTTGATTCGGCGAGTAATGTCCTACCGAAATATTGTCTATGTGGCTCAAATGTGGCGATTTTGATGACCAGGGTAGCTGCTCATTCCCGTGGTTCTGTAAGTTATCTGCTATTAAAAGTGCTCTGTGTGAACCGGCAACCTCACCGTGCAACCTAAGATTGTTCCTAAGGTGTCCCCTATCAAATGATAGTCAAGTGGTTCCGAGATTATTCCTTAATTTGATCTGGTTCAGGTTTTCGTCGATGACTACCATTGGTGTTTTGGCACCAATGTGGTATCCACTCCAAATACTGACGCTGTCAATCACCCTTGTCACTTTAGACCCAGCATATGCTTCGTCGTAGGCCTCTTCTGGATATCTGTTAACTCTGTTTTGACTAATTGGGCGGTAAAGGTGAAATCTGACCTCAATAAAGAAAGCCACGCTGTTTCAGTGTTCTACCAAGAAACGATTATGGCCTCCAATTAATTAGAGAAACAGACGACGATGTTTTGCTGTTTACAGTGGGTGCCTCGGAGGTCGTTTGGTGTTCTTACCTGCTAAAACCAGTTTGGTGTTCGCTAAGGGCTTTGAAAAACGCATTTTGGTGGCAATTCACCCCTCGTTCTGAACGGACTAAGTGTTATTTGTTTAGTTGCAGCAGCGTATCTCGAAAGACAGTGGGTCCTGTACCCTGTAGGTAAGATTTTGATACATTGGGGGTGACATCTGTGTAGGTACATCAGTCTGGGCATTACTCTATAAAACTGTATGGACTGTTCCGTTTGGCTCTATGATCTGTCTGGTAATGTCTGTCTTTTTCGCGCCATTCTGCCATAGATTAATAAATTTTAAATGCACTACTTGACCCATCTTACGCACTGCAAAACTGACCGCTTGCATGCAAAATTTCAATTTCTTCTATGCAGTAGTTGCCGACATATGGATACTTTTTTGACAGAACCAAGCTTTGCCTAAGCCAAGCTTTGACCAGCCCAAAGGAACACTACCCAATTAAATCACTGCATATTACATAATGTAGCAGCGCAACGGACATGAAAGTCAGTTACTTGGTAGCGACACGCCTGACTGCACACTTCTCCATTCACAAATCTTATATGAGATCGGAGTTTTTTTAAAAAAGAACGCATTTTTGCCTAGGTATACCTTCGAAACTGAAATATTCCATATTAAATGTCAAGTCTGTANTGGATCACTATAGTTCTTGACAGTCCAGTGGACATTTAGGAAATTCACGGGAATAAAGGCGTCCATATGAAAATATGAGCTTATACTAACTTGAAACGGAATAAAGAACGCACGATCATGACTGTGAGTGAGTAGCCCCCCCCCCCCACACACACACACACATGCACACAATCACCCACGAATGTAACTGTCATGAAAACAAGAAGCAGAGAACGCCATAAATATTGTAGTAGTATTAAGCATCCTAAAGGCAGTCACGCAGCAAAACTTTTGTGTTCTTTAAAAATATGAGAATATATTATAGCAAATGTAATACAATTTTAAATAATTGAAATGCATTTCTTTCTAAATTCAGTTTACGTACGGTTTTTTGGTAGCCTCTCAAAGTTTTAAACCTCAAATATTGGAGACCATAAGAGAGTCAGCCAAGGACACGTTTGGGGAACACGTTTGAACTCGTCATGATGGACATTTACAGGTGTAGGACCAGTACAGAACTTCTTGTAAACAGTTTAGAACCAAGGGACCGAACTTGATTTGAGGACCAGAAGAGTCTTAACAAACGGAGCCATTTGCTACTTATAACTGTTATAACTCCTTGGATTAAGCTAGTCAAAATTCTAATATAAAGAGAGGAGTATTGGTGTGGTTTAATATCCAGGAACTGAAGGGGGGGGGCAGGACCCCCCTGAAACCCCCCTAAACCAGCCACTGCTCAGACTGCAGTGTTTTGCCTGTGCTGCGGTCTTATATAGTCTCATTGTGACGGCTAGCACAAAATTCATACGTTGTACTGGTTGTGCTTACGCACGGCAGGAAACGTCTCAAAAAGTGTTAACTTTCGACTAGTTTGCGATCCTACAAAGAAAAAAGAAGAAGAAGAAAGAGAAGAAGAAATATAAGAACCAGCCTGTCCCTTCCTGTGTTGACGTGAAAAAAGTGGGCAGGGGGCTTTAAAAACACCATTCTTTTTATAGCCCGCGCTCCGACTGCCCTGGGCAGCAGTATGTGTGTGAGGAGAAGGCCTTCCCCCAATATATTTTGAAATAAGCCATTGATGTTGTGATTATGTCATGTAAATCAAATATTGGTCTTTAAAATGGAAGATAGACTGCCTTGTATGAATAAAATTTACAAACCTAGGCGGGACTAGTCTCTATAGTAGACAGCATATGGAGTATTGCTCTCTACAAAAATTGCTCTGTTCATGAGAAGACGCGTTACTGTAAACCATTAAAAGACCCAGTTCAATAATAAATGGAAAGACTTTTTATATCAAGCCTGTATCAATTTCTGATTCCCTATTGAGTAAATTCTAAATCATTCTTACGTATATGGATATTAAAAAAGTTTATAATAAATGAAGAGAGAGAGGTTGAACAATAAGAATATAAGAACAACAACAAATCTTTAACATTAATATATGCGCCTTCGGACAAAAATTCACAGAATGTGCTTGATGAGGCAAAACAAAGATGCTGTTGTTAATGCTGAATTAATTTTGTTAATTTAAAAATAGAATAAAATAAATTAGATAAAAAAGTATGTTTTCAAGTAAATATTCGATCAAATATTAATTCTTTTACGGCGTAGCATCCATTTTATATACGTGTATAATGAAAAGATTTTTTACCAATCTGATGAAATACAGTATAAAATATTGAACGAACAAATTCAATAAATTAAACCAAGAATTTCAAGTCTTTGATTAAACCAGACCGATTTATTCCACTATTAGTTTATTCATTTTCACACGTTATTGAAATCTGGAGTTTTTATACTTATGAAGTACTAGCAATATATAGCAGATTAAAGCTCGAAAGACGCTCGAAAGATTGTTAACTCATTGCATAAACTTGTTTTAGTTTTAATTTGGCAGTTTTATCTTATTGTGTAGTTTATTTGAAAACAACAGTTTTCACGCACGCTCCTGTCAATATACAAAGACGGGCTACTTATTGTCTCGGCCCTTTATAAGGAACGAACAAAACCGGTAGTTTTTAATTTTACCTGGTCACTAACATCATTATCTCGGCCTTTTCTCTCCGTAGTTCATGAAAAAAATGACAAGGTTTTACTTTTTATACCATCCGTTTTTTAAAAATGATCCTAAAAAAAGTATTATGTTCAGTTCGTATACGAAGTTCAGATTTCGTACGAGCACCAAACATCGATTATGGAGCAACAAACATCGTCAACAACGTTAATTCATGTATAGTCATTTTACATCATATCCAGAAAAAGAATGACAACTGATTTTAGTACATTTAAAAACGCCTGTGAAAGAACCCGGGGTTCTTTCACGTTGTTAAATTTCAGTCTCTCGGTTGAAATAAAGAACCTGGCGTTTTTTAACGCTGCAAAAAGAAAAGAAAATAAAATGCCCCCTACCTCCAGAATGTAACGACATGTATTGTTATAGACAGGTATGAATCAAATTCAAACAGGCTAATTCAGCTTTGATGGAAGCTGTGAAGCGCACACGACTATGAATGACAGTTTTTTTTTAATATTAAAGGTCAAACACAATTACTACACTCTTCTCTCCGAACATGTAAAAACCCCTATGTCCTTTGATTGACAAGATGCCAATCAAATTCATTAGTTTGGATAGCTGCTGTCAAGTAATAACAGCTTGATTGGCAGGTTATATAAACAAACGTCAATCACAATCAGTACACAGTGGATCACTATAGTCGTCGAACACGTTTAGTTCAAGCTTCCTACACCCTTTGATTGACAAGGTGCCAATCAAATTCAGTTAGTTTTTATAGTT